TAATAATATTCATAGATTTAATATAGATTATGATATATATTATGTCTATGATAATATTACGCTATTATAACTGGAATCACAAAATCGAATTTAATATAGATTATGATATATATTATGTCTATGATAATATTACGCTATTATAACTGGAATCACAAAATCGAAAATGTAAAACAAAAAAACTCGGCAACTCTCKTATTAACTATTAATTCCGTATCATGGATGAAAAATGTTGAGATAAACATTTTTCCATGATTATTTGCCTTCTACCTAAGTTTATTATTGCTGACATGATAAGGGCTAAACGCGCAGTCCATCTATATTATGTCTATGGATACAACTGAACAACGGCCAATCGCCTGTTACCGTGAACCGATGTACACGGCCATATTTACCATTAGGCAGGATAAGAAACTGTCTATGGCCTCCGTTAATAGAGGGCCTCGCATTTATATATGAATCTTGTTTATTTTTTTTAGAGTATTACTTTTATCATATAAAATAAAATATATAAGAAACATATAATTCAAAAACAAAAAACAAATTAATCCTTATCACTTATCAGCAAAAATGTAAATGAAAATAAATAAAAGTCTGTTTTTATACATACTGGAAACACCATACGGACCACGTCAACYATCGGCCACCACTCGCCAGTCTTAACAAATATCACAACTCACAAGTATATTAATATTAATAATAAGTAAGCATTCAACACACGATTATGAGAACCGTCACTCGTGACTACTGACTCGCCAGTACTCAGTATATTATCTTCATTTACAGGAATTCTTCTGTTTTCTTATAAAAGTGATTTATTTTTTATTGTTAACGTTTGTTTGAACACAGTTTATAATACGTTTTTGGTACCTGAGATTTTTTTTTGTATATTGTATTTAATTAATTTGTTTTAAATGTCGTCGAGGAAGACATACCTAGACAAAGCAACTAACACAAAAAAGCAAGAAAAGTTGTATTATAAAATAGCAAAATTAATTATTTCTGTTTTAAGTACCTATAAAAATGTATTGTTTCCTGTTTTTTTTTTTGGTTAATAAATAATATAAAAGAAATGTTAAATTTTGTTTTCAATATCAATAATAAATATATAATATTACATAATATATTAATTAATAAATAATAGTTACAAGAAATCTGTAGCCTGTAGAGATAAAAAAAATGTATATAATAATTATGTTTGTGAAAATGTATAAGTAAATACTAAATTGTAATAAATTATTATTTTTCTATATAGAACTCATTTGTGGGGGGGGGGGCTATATACGCTACTGTTGACAAGGGGCCACATTTTTTATTTTGCCTAAGGCCACAAAATGTCTAAATCAGGCACTGCCAATGCATCGGATATATCTTATCTTAAATTTTTTTTTGCRTACCTACCTTACTACACAAATCACTCGATTGTCTTTCAAGATCAAAACATCACTAATAAAAGTTATTTCAAATCTTAATATAAATATAATATTTTAAAAGTGTTTCACTAGAAATTTAATCATTAAACCAATAAGAAAAAATAATTACATCTAATTATTGTAGTTACAAAAAAATAGTTTGCAACAGGCTATATGTATTGCTACAGCCATGGAGTTTTACAGTGCATGCAGTCAACAAGTTAGTCACAGCCCATCTGGAATTATTCAATTTCCTGATAGCCCAATCTGTTCCGACTACATTAAAAATATTATAATATGCAATGTTAAAAATAATGATGAACGAAAATTCAGCAGGATTGAAGGTCGAATGCAGAATTTACTTCAAAATTAAACTTTAGGTACCTCTATGGCTCATCTTTTTAAAACTATTTTAAATGGTAATATTTTATTATTATCAACAATATATTATTGTATGATATTAACTATAAACAGAAGAAACATTAACAAAATAATATTATTAAGTACTTAAAGTTTAATATCTTAAGACCATAGTGTATTAAATAATACAAATTGTTATTTAAATTGAAATGTTTTGGTATTAGAATTGGTAAACTAAGTGTTTTCATTGAAATTAAACAAGTGTTTATATTATATGTATGCTATAATAATACATCAGGTAGCAGGTTAAGAGTCAAACCTCAAACATCAAACTTCACAAGAAAATTAAATTTCTATTAATCAACAAAAGAGTAAAAATGGTTATTTATTTTGATAACCTATGATAACGTCAATCAATATTTATGATAAACACTCACATTTTTATTTAATTTTAAGCCATAATATACATTTATAATTTAATTTTTACTTGGTTAATTTTAAATGAATTATTTTTAAAAGTAAAGTCCGGAAAAAATAAAATATAATAAAATAGGATACTAATATTATGATATTACTAATTCTATATGTACCATCTAAAATATTTCAATTTTAATTAATATTTCTATATGAATACAAAACTTAATGACGCATGGTATACTAAAATAATGTTATTAAATAAAACAATAAATTTAAATGTGKTTACATTAAAAAGTGGGATTTATTGTAAATTAACAATTTTTAAAGTAAATAACTACCTATATTCTAACAATTGTAATATCCATATAACATGCTATACTCAATTGAGTTGTATAAAATTAAATATTCATTCAATAGCTTATTCTTGCAGATAATTATATAAAACATGAACAACATGATAGTATACTAGTATGTATGGAGTAAAAAACTAAATTAAAAAAAAAATACTTTAACTATTTTTTTATAGTTGTCAAGTACAATATGCAATATAAATACTATGTTAATTTAAAATTTATGATCAAATCAAATTATTTAAAAATTATCAGTATCAATAACATTTTGGAGTTCTTGAAAGTGATTTCTATACCGTGTCTACAAATGTTTAACATTTATGACTGGTATAAAATATTATGACACAATGGGCAGCTATCCTAAAACAGAAAAAAAGTATTTAAAATAGCAAAATCAAATAATACACAATTTAATAAATTAAACAATTTTTATATGAATCAAATTTTTAATTAATAGTTTAGACTAGTGGTTTTCAAAAATTTTCTAATTATGGCACATTATTATTAGTTCCTATCAGTACATACATTAATTAAATAAACATTGTCTTTTTGTCAAAATTAAATACTTAAGAAGTCTAGAGTCCTGAAAAAGTTAAACATTTTCACCGAATACATTTAACAATGAACGGATTTGAGGGATTCTCCATGAGTCAATAAATAAAGTATAAAATTATTATAAAATTGTCAAGGCCCTCCCTAAGTTCTAGAATTTTTGTTTTTGTCAAATATGAAATTTGATTTTTAATACTTTCTTAGTATCTGTATTTTAAATTAAATGCAAATATCGTGTGTTTATAAATAATATAGTTTATTAATCACATTAAGTTAATTCTACACTATTTACTATATTTTAATAATAACATAAAATTAAATTATTTAATATTATAAAGTTTTAGTAAAAGAAACTATTACATTATTATTTACCTTTAAATTAAGCCATTTACGCAGACATATACTGTGGAAATAATGATTGCATTTAGTAATTTTTGCTGAATACATATAATGCCGACATATAGAACAAATGTCATCAAATTCAGACAATTGAGTTGAAGATGCATCAGTTAACGAATTAATTCTTTTATCAGCTGAACGACGTCTAATGAATACTCTCCATCCATTTCTAATGCTACGCCATATGGCATAATATGCATGCAGACACACAAAGGGTACACGGAATAAACTGCCTGATTGAAAAATAATATTATAAACTGCGTTCAGAAAAATACAGGTGCTAAACCAGAAGCTCATCTAAAATAAAAATGTTAACAATAATATAATGAAATAATTTATAGGATTTATAAAATTACCACATGACCAAATGATTTTATATAAAACTCATAATCGTCCAATTTCTCCCAAATTGATATGMGATGGCCATCTATCATATTTAATGCATATACAGCTAATGTTACCAATATTTTGATCACAATTTGAATATTGAAAGAAGAAAATTCTACTAGCCAGTTATTAACAAGATTGTAATGCCACAAGTATCTCAACATATTAGTTGAAAACATTATAATAAATCCACTAACAAAAAGAGCTCTTAAATGCCTAAACAATTTAATAAAATTAATTTCAAAATATAAGTGATAATAATTAATATTTAACAGAATACCTATTTATTGATGTATTATGATTAACATTCAAAGAGTATAATAATGATTCAACCAAACTATGGATATAAAACATTAAGAAATCACAAATTAAACAAACATTTCGACAAAGTTGTATAAAGCGCTCTTCTGGTTCTAATACAGTTAATCCACTTTGAACAGCTAATACAACAAATAATATTGCAGAACGTTTTCCAATGTTAATCTGTCCTATACCAACAGTCAACAGCACCTAAATAAATAACTGTTAAAATATCTAAAAGTTTTAATTCATTATTAGTTTCTCAGCTCTTAGTCGTCTTACCCATCGGAAGAATGTTCCTATGTTATGACAGAAGTATGAAATAAAACTTGACATTCCTAAAATTGCTATAAATGTATCGCATCCTTTAACTAACAAATATTTCACAGTTTCAAACAAAGTTTCATGTCTTATCTCCTTAGTTGACAGAGATAATATATATATATCCAATAATCTCAGAGTCCAAAATAATCGTAAAACATTTGGAATTTTGAGACGTGGCCATTCCATTACAACAAAGTCATGTATTTTATTCCTGGGATAAAATGCATAATTTAATAAATATTAAATAATATATACAAATATTATACATAAAATATATTAAGATAATAATTTATAGATTTGTCTTACTCTAAGGTATCTGGGGTAAGAGTATTTGCACTTCGAACTAAACTTATTATTGAAAATATATTTAACCACAATGTTTTCATCACAATAAATAATGGCAAAAATGATGATAATAGCATAGTTATTGAATTCATAATTCCATGTGTAACTGGTATTAATACCATTAAAGAAGGAAGAATAAAACTAATGCAAACACCCTGAAAAATTAAATATATTATTTCTATTCAAGGCAGAAGTTATTTAAATTATATTTACCTTATGGATTAAATGATTTGTAGTGCAGACTTGTAAAGAGTTGAATAATARTGATAGAAAATACTGTAGTATCATACCACAGAATAACAAGCATAAGAAATGCACGGTTTGTAATTGTGTAAAAATATGTATAATACCATCTATATCCCATACTACAACTTCGTTTATCGTAAATATTTTTAAGTTAGCAAATTTCTCTGATAAAACATTAAGTATTTGTACATTTGTCCAATAAGAAAAAAGCAAAACGCAGATAGAAGCAAAATATAAGTAGACCGGGTACAAGTATCGAGTTGGTAGAACAAATAAACATAACGATGAACAAAATACTAGAAAAAAATTAAAAATGAATAAACATATAATGTTAAAATATTATTTTTCTTTCATAATTTGTTGAACTTACTGAAATAGGATACAATTGCTTTATTAAATAATATAGTTATCGGCTCATAATATTGTGAGATATAGTCATCCTCAATTTGATCAAATCCTCCATTTTCAAAAGTATTATTCATAATAATTGTTTTATCAGTAAGATCTTGAAATCCAAAACTAATATTGAAAATTCTGTCAATAATAAATAGAGGTGGAATCCTTATAAAAATATCGAGACTCATGATGCTATCGTATTAAAAATCTTTAATTTTTAACAACAACAAAACCTAAAAACAATAAATTACAAAAACTATRAATATTTTAATATTGTTAAATCATATAAGAAAAATAATATTTCAATACATACTTAAAGAACGCTGAAGAGAGATCGACATAAAACACAGGAGCAGCAAACAGTGATACGAAAWTATTTGAGTRAAACATATGAATACCTACCTAGTGTATTATTGTTGATGATGGACTTTGATTACTCTGTTCACAAGGTCGCTAGCACCTATGCCATCACAATCGTCTACGTACTTGGTTATGCTGGTTATAGACTTCTTTCTGATGGATTCTATTAACACTARAAACCAAAATGTGGGTAATAGGAACGCCGAAAAGGTTAGTAGGTATCTACCGAATAAATCGACAGCCGAATGAGCCTGCAGTCACAACATGACACAGCATTTAATATTTTCGCTGAACATATGCATTTCGGCCAACATAACTGATAGAGAAACGATGGTTCTCAGAAGCTTCTGAGCGATAATGGAATCAACACTTAAGTATGTGTAGGAAGTGATGCAACGAGACGCCTTTTATGGTTAACAATATTAACAATGGTATCAGCTGCTATAACAGATTAGTATACAACGCCGCATCCATTGGTTTTTTTTTTTGTCAGTGCAACAGTCTGACCCGTAGACCTTTTAACTAATGGACGAAACATGACTGGTTGTCGGGGTACAGACAGTTGTACAGTAGTACGCTTAGATCATATTATACTAATATTGTATACAAAATTTAAGGTGGTACGGCTGAGAAAATATTGTTAATATTAGATAACAGAAGACGTAAGATCACATCTGAAATCGTACATTGTACAAATCACGAACCAAGATAAACAGGACTGGAAACTAACTGGTTGGGGGGTGTGAGAGGTAAATCCTCCTTAATGTATACAATGAGCGGGGTACGGGGACTTCGAGTTTTTGTCAACACTAGTGCCATCTAGGTATCCAAAAACAAGAAATTAATAAATCAGTATGCTAATCAACATTAACAGGAGCTCATTTCCCGCCTTTTTCATRCTTTGAAAATATATAATTATACAATATTACCTATAATATATTATTATAGGTAATATATTATATATTATATATAATAYATAATATTAATATTTTATACCTACTTAACATAGTATAATTATAAATCAAAATAATTGTGTCTGTTTGAAACAGAAAT